TTTTTTTTTTTTCCCTTTAAAGCTCGATTGTAGATCTAGACAGAATGAAAAGGAATTCCCTGGTTGGATTCTTGCTAACTGCTTCTGGAGTTGGAATCCCATGCTGAGAAGAGCATTTAGCTGAAACCGTTTTGCCTGTGGGATTTTTTTTTCCCCACTCTTGTTCAGCTCTACTTTTAAGTACATTCAAGTAACATTTTAGGAGTTGAGTGTTTTGAGATCTTTATCAGCTTGTGGATTCACCATCATTCTGCTTGCGTGCTGAGGAAAGACTTTGCCCTTCATGGTGTGATTTGTCAGTAACTGAATCTGTTCAAATCCCAGGAAACTTTAGGAATTCTGGACTGCTCAGTTTGCCTTCCACCATCTCATTTCATCCATTTAATTTCAGAGCAATCAACGAGTTGACCTGTATAAATGGAAAGATGGTAACGGGGAAGTTTGCACATCACTGCAAGGGCACACACGTGTGATCAGGTGAGAAGCCCAGCACAGCTCCAGCCTAGTGGGAAGACAATGGTATGGCTGGCTTTATGTACATTGGAGCACAGTCTGAGCCCTATTCGTGGACTCTGGTGTGAGAGCTTTTTTTTTTATTTCTTCACTTCTTTGGCCTGCCTACCTGTACCCTATTTGCTGTCATCACCCCCACTCCCGATGGCAAGAAATATGCATCTAGTTCAGGTTGGTTTTGAGGTGTTTTGTGAGTCATTCCACTTTTCAATGGCAGCTGTTCTTATTTAAGAAAGCAAGCAGAATCAATCAGGGGATCAGACTCGATCTACTGAGGTCCCTTCCAACCCTAAAAATCTATGAAATCTGGGAAGCGGATAGCAGCGTGGCTATTAAACTGAATCCCAGCTGTGGTTTTTTTGCTGATGGCAGATTCATTAAAGTAAGGTGCAGGCTGTCTATAATGGGCAAGTTCTTAGCACATTGCTCTGCTACATGAAAAACCTCTGGAATTTGGTACATGCCAGCAGTGAATCTGGGATTGTCACTGGGATCTTGTTTTACGTCTGTGTAGAGGACTAATATAATAAGTGTTTCTTTCCTTTGTGCCATATGTTTATTGTAAAAACTAATTGCAAACCTTGGGAGCATTGTTAGCTTTTGTAGAGCCTGTGTTTGTGTAACTAGTACAGCTCATGAGCTTAGCAAAATGGCATCCCCAGAAATGTCTGTCAGTCTAGATTTTTTTTTGCCAAAGTACTCCTTTCTTTGTCATGGGAGGAACTGCTATAACACAGTCCCCTCCCTGCCTTTCTCTTGAAAGTATTTCTAGAAGTAAGTTATGTTCATCTTTTACTTGGCGGAGGGACGTGACTTTAGAAGATGTCAGTGTACATGTCACAAATATGTTTTATGGGTACATGAGAAGATGATGCAGACAATGTGGTACACTTGGCTGACCCTACTGAGCTTTCCTTTGATTTTTGTATTTGCAGTGACTTGGACTGGGCAGTGTTCGAGCCTGACCTTCTGGTCACCAGTTCTGTTGACACATACATCTACATCTGGGATATCAAGTAAGATCAAGTGTCTACTCCATCACCACAGAGAGTGTGTGGCGTTTCTGCTTGACCAATAGCATGAAGGGCAAATACTCCCCAGTGTGTTTTCAGCTGTGCTGGCAGAAGCCCAGATTAGTTCCCTTAATCTCTCAAATATGGCAAGAGTTTCTAGTCTTTCAAGAAGGTTCAGAACAGATATAATTATGCTCCTCTGGAAAGTTATGTCAGGTTCATATTCTAAATAGGAACACATACCATTTCAGTTTTTTGTTTTTTCTCTCCCTCCCCTTCCAAATCTCCCGCGTTTCTCTCTTTGGATTCCAGGAGTTTTTCCTTATGTATCTCTCCTTCAAAATAACAAGTCTGCTGACTGAGTAAATGTGTAACCCTACATCCTGTTCTCCAGGGCTGTGTAATATTTCGACTGCTGTTTCATTTTGGTGGTGTTTCAACGCTCAAGACTCCAAAACCAAAACAAAATGGGACACATGTCAAAACGTTTGAAATGAAACAAGTTGAAATCTTTCAAAGATGTTTCGGTGTTTTGAAGCTGGGCTTCCAGGGAAAGAGAAAGTAAGGAGAGGGAGGGGGAAACAGACTGACATCTGTAACTGACCAGTGTCTGCCAACTGTCCCTGAGGTCCCTTCCGATCTTAGTGCTCTGGGGAGTGATCTAAAAAGTTTAAAAACAGCATATAAGCCTGTGAGTGCTTAAGCTTTCATAGATTTCATAGACATTTGGGCTGGAAGGGACCCCGGAGGGTCATCGAGTCCAGCCCTCTCCTCCAGGAGCAGGAAGTCAGTAGGGATCATAGGATCCCAGCAACATACACATCCAAATGTGTCTTGAAGGCATTCAAAGTGGGTGCTTGAACCACCTCCGGCAGCAGTCTATTCCAAACCTTGGGGGCTCAGACAGTGAAGTTCTTTCTTATGTCCAGCCTGAATCGGTCACAGCGGAGTTTGTGACTGTTCAACCTTGTCATCCCCTGGGGCGCTCTGGTGAACAGATGTTCCCCCAGATCCTGATGAGCACCCCGATGAACTTTATAGGTGGCCACCAGACCACCCCTGAGCCTGCGCTTTTCTAGGCTGAAAGTCCCATGGCACTCTCATCCTAAGGTCTGTTTTCCTGACCTCTGATCATACATGTGGCTCTCCTCTGCACTCTCTCAAGCTTCTCCACATCCCTCTTGAATTGTGGAGCCCAAAACTGAATGCAGTACTCCAGCTGCAGCCTCCCCAAGGCCGAGTACAATGGGAGAATGACGTCCCAGGATTTGCTTGAGAAGCGTGTATGGATGCAAGCCAGTGTTTTGCTCACTTTACTAGCTGCAGCATCACACTGAAGGCTCATGTTCATCTTGTGGTCAACCATGACCCCCAAATCCCTTTCATCTGTAATGCTAACCAGTGTAGCACCACCAAGCCTGTAAGCATGGTGCAGATTTTTCCTTCCAAGGTGGAGAACCTTGCGGATGAGAACCATCATGTTCTCATCAGCCCATTTCATGAGCCTGTTAAGATCTGCCTGGATTGCCCACCTGTCCTCAGGTGTGGATGCTTTACCCCAGAGTTTGGGGTCATCGGCAAACTTGGCCAGTCTGCTTCTGACACCAATGTCCACAGCATCGATGAAGATGTTAAATAAAATAAGCCCTAGGACAGAGCCTTGAGGGACCCTGCTAGTCACAGCTGGCAGGCTTTGTCAGCCTGTCTCTCACCAGAGAGCAGTATCTGAAAGGCACTGACTCTGACTGCTTCCTAGCTGCTACTGTTTTGCTAAGGAGTGTCTTTTACTTGCAAAGGATTGGATAGGATACAGCTTACACTGACAGTTAACTATACTTGCCTTACTTCAATACCAGTATTTTTATCCTTATCATTTTTTTTTTTCCCTATATCCATTCCTTTGAAATTTATTTATTTTTACCTGACGAAAAATAAATTTGTGTCTTGCCTGACAGTGTGATCTCTGGGCACTGTTTAGGAAAGCACAGCATGGGTAAGATAAATTGCACACACAGACACCTACATATAAACACAGTCAGACACCTTTTCCAGCACAGAAAAACATGAAGCATGCTGGAAAGGCCGGTGCTGCCAAGTCTGGGAGGGAAGCGAAAGGAAGCAGAGGGAGAGGTGTCAGTTCCCTGCTGCCCAAGCTGTGACAGCTTCTTTTCAACCAGCCATGAGGCCTCTGCTGGCACTGGGAACAAGGAGGTCACAGCAGTGCCTGCAGCTGCACCCCTTCTGACACCCAGCTGTGATAATTAACCCCAGCACCAGCAGCATGACAACAAGCAGCACCAGCAGCACAGTCTCCTCCACCCCAATTGCAGGTCTCAGCATGAGCCTCCCACTCCCAGTCTTAGAAGAGCTCAATCTTCAAGTAAGAGACCTTGGCTTGATAGCACAAGAAATTCTGTGGCAGGAGGGGGAAGCAGAGCTTGTGCTCCACACCCCTCAAAATTCCCCTAGAGCAGGGGTGGGCAATTATTTCAGGTTCAGGGCCACGTACCAAGTTTTGGCAAGCTATCGGACTGCGTGGGTTGTCCTCCCCCTTGACAGGTTCCCTGCCCCCTGATTGCCATCTTGGGACTGGAAGTCCCACCCACTAACCGCTGCCCTTTGCCACCAGAAGTCTCTCCCCTTACCCAGAAATAGTTCTTTCAGCAAGGGGTTTTGCCATCTCGGAACCAGAAAAATACGAAATTTTATTCCAAAAAATGAACATCTAAAACATTCATTAATTTGATTTTAAAAATATTTTTATCCTGATTTACATGTTTGTGTAGTGTACACAGAGGTGATTGCACAACAGCTTAGAATGATGTCTTTCTTTTGTGTGTTGTGGAGGGAGGATATAGATTTCTGGGGGGCTGTGGGTCTGTGAGGGAGGGTGGATAGGTGTGAGGGGGTGATTGTGAGGTGAGGAAGTGTGTGGGTATGTGTAGATATATTGGGCGTGGGTGTGGTATGGGGTTTGTGGGAGGCTGTGGGGGGGAGGGGGGCTGGGTGTGTGTATGTGGGTCTGTGTACGGGAGTGCAAGGGGGTGTGGGTGCATGTGTATGGTGGGGTGTGGTTGTGGGACACATCCTATAAACCCTTCCTCCCCTCTCTCTCTTACCACATGCATGCACACTCGCTCACAGCTCTCTCTGTCTCTTCCCCTATCTTTCATTGTGTATGTACACACACACAGAGTCTCTCCCTCCCCCATTGCATGGACGCGGACAGACAAACACATACCAGCCCCCCTCCTGCTCCTGGCCCTGAGATACCAGTGCAGCCCCACAGTGAGGCAATGCAGTCATGTGCCAGAAAAGCTGCGGCAGGCACAGACTTCCGACTGGGGGTGGGGAGGGACAGGGCCGGGCTGGCCTTGCTGGTGAGTCCTTCTGGCTTCCCCTGGGTTCTACTGCCCCCAGCTCCGGTGATCTTGGACAGGCAGTGAGGAGCAGATTAATATTATTAATATTAAACTATAATATTAATATCATTTCTGGTTTCTGAACCATTTAATGCCCTGCTTTCTGAGCTGGAGGTGGCACTCATTGCATCACCAGCCAACAGGAGAAAAACATGTCCCTGCTGAGCTCCCGTGCCAGGATGAACTTGGAGGTATGGGCTGCGGCTGTGGGGAAGGAGGAGCCCCTAGGTCAGGGGCATGACCTAAAATTGTATCCTGCTGGGGTTGGGAGGCCTGGTGGGACTGCCAGTGGCACAGCAGCTCCCAAGAAATGCCAGGACCAAGGACCTCCTTGGTGAAAGGCAGGTAGGAGGCACCTTAACTGCCAGCTACCAGATGCATGCACAATCCTGACTGGAGAAAGCCCAGACCCCTAAGATCTTTGAGAGGCCTGAGGCTTGCTGGTTGCAGTATAGTTGTGAGGCTCCAGGTGAGCTCAGCTTACCTGCCTGAGATGCCATCTGTGAGGCACAGGCCATAGTGTAGGGGAGGTACAGAGCTGTGGAATCGCACATTAGGCAGACAGTTCTTTTGGTCAATCCAATATCTTTCAGTATACTAAGTGAATAGTTGGAGAAATATATCTTAGCAAGCTTTCAGGTTG